TTTCTGTGTCATACTTCACTCCTTCATCGGTGTGGTTTATTTTTCTTTTCTCCGTTCCCCTCCATGCCCTCTACAGCCCTTGTGTCTGTCCTGACTGTGTCCACCCATGCCCCCCTTTCTCTGTCCCTCCAGCTCCCTTTCTCCCAATTTCTAACCCCCTTTTTCTCCCCATTTCCCACGTCTCACCTGCCTGACCCCTCTGTGTCACCTGGGGTCACAAAGACCCCTCTCTTTGTGCTCCCCCCCTCTCCACCCTCAGGTTCCCCCTTTCTTCCCCTGTTTTTCTCTCTGTTCCTCTCCGCCATGCTTTGTCTCACTTGCTGTGCCACTTGATTTCCCCCTCTCTGTCTCTCCATCCACCTCCCTCTGCGTCTCTCTGTCTCTGTTTTCCTACATCTCTCCTTCTCCTTCTGTCTGTCTCTCTAGTGTCTGTCACAGGCACGCACATTTTGCATCAAAGCACTTCTACCTCGTTCCTTTAAACTGGAGCCACCCAGTCTCTCCGTGTTATTTCCCAGGTGGAAATGTGTGCCTAGATGCTGTGTACCAGCGGTGTCAGTGAAGATGGCTCATGCAGGGGCATTTGAGATGTGTTAAGACTCCCCATGCACACACAGGTGAAATGTACAGCAAATAAACAACGAGTCTCCCCTCTTCCCACACAGCTCGGCAGAGTTTTCTGGTTGATTTATGCCCAGTTTGATGATTGAGGGGAGAGTCAGAAGCATGAGCCTGTCCTAAATATGGAAAAACCCCCAAATCTGCCCCTCTTTGTTTCCATGCAGAAAAGCAGGAAACCCATGTGTACGGTAACCTTAAAGTCTTGGGCATACGCGTTCGTTCTCGCAGCAACAGGATTGCCTGCTCCTCGCAGCAAGCTTTAGCAGAGGTGCTTTAACCATGTGAAAACCCCACAGTAATGGGGTTTTGGGTGCAACCTTGATACAAATTTTCATTATTGAGAATAATATTTGCAGAGGCAGCTGCAATATGCTCCATTTATCACAAATAAGATATGAACTGTGGTGTCGTAGCCTGCAGTCAATAGATTTTTCAGTGAGGTATAATGAAGTCGGGGCTTGAATCCTTGTTTCTCGGTTGATAAGGAGGTGACAGACTTTACGGATGGAAAACCTGCTTCTGCTTTTCAGCAAAGGGAGCTTAATCCCTCTATTGCTTTTGTTAGTCGGCTCTCCCATTAGAAGTCATGTTCCTGTCTCACTTTCCTTACGAGGACGCCGGTTACTTTGATTCCTTTATAGGGCTGAGCAAGTCTGTGGCTTGAGTGCACTAGTTTTCTTTGACAAAAAGCCATTATCATTATTGATGAATCTGTCACTGGCTGGCAAGTTACCAGAAAGTACTCAGAAGTAAAGCTTTCCTCGGGGTGTGCTTTGCTGCAGCACCGTGTGTTAGGTCCTCAGACAGACACTGGTTTGGGGAAAAAAAAACCTCAAGTAGGTGTCAGGTAGGAGAGGGGAAGGAAAACAAAATCAGTCCCAATCCTTTTTAATTTTGAACATCCAATCAACAGCAAAGCTCTCCTAGCGATGGCCCGATAATGTAGCCAAGAATATTGTTCTTAGTATTATCCGCTTGCCCTACCGTGGGTTTATTCTAACATTGGATCAGTAAATGGGGAAAATGTTTCTTTATGATACATGAGAATACCCAATGAAGAAATTAAGAAAAGTCTTCATCGCAAGCCAAGGGCACACGAGCAGTGTAAGGGCTTTCCAGTTGTGCAGGCAAAGCTGCAACAAACCGCGATCATCAGGGCCTGAGTCTAAACGGATCCTGAAACCAGATGCAGCTCCCTAGCAGTGAGAGTGATGGCGCCTGGGATGGCTGATGGAAGAAAGCAGATCTGTGATTGTCTGGGGTTTTTCAGGGTAGAATTAGTAGGTTTTTGAAAGCCGTGCTTTAACGCAGCTTTGGGGAAAAGTACCCCGGTGCATTTGTAAGGACCTTGGTTTAGATGATCAGAGCTATCTGCGACAGCAAGTGGGCTGTGACATCTAGCCTTGGCAGTTTAGCTGCTTGGCCAACCACTGCTGCAAATACTATTAAGTACAGAAATGTGTTTTCTTTTTCCTACTTTGGCATTATATCACTGAGATACAGCTTGTTGTGCCCCTCGGGCTTATCAATGCACAGAAACTCTGGTTCCATACCTACTGCAATTGCACAGGGAAATTCCTTCTCAGGGTACCACCGAGGACTGATCTCAAAAAGATGTGGAACACGGGACAAACTCATAAATGAAAACACAGGCTCTTTCTTGGCTAGATCAGCCAAACAGAAGCCTGGGCTGTGTGGGCAATCCAAGTCGATTTCTTTTGACTAGGAGGAAGAAGCATGAAGTGAAATAGCGTGTGATTAACCCATGTGCATCTATGTTCCCTTTGACCTGAGAGTTAACGTTTACAAAGGGGAAGCACACTGCTGGCTTTGGGTTAAAGATTTATTAAAGGACACAGAGGCCCAGTAGCTTTGAAGCCTAGGACTACGTTCAGAGTTTTTATCTTGCTGTCTGAGTCCCATCCTCTCTTCCTGAGGCTTGTTCTGCTGTGGCTTACGTGGGCCTGATGGGCTGTCCTACCCTTGATGAATAAAAGGTCAGATCACAAAATTCAGTGACTGTCCAAAATTAACACCCTCCTTAGCCGTTGCGCTGGGGAGCAGGGAAGGACAGAACAGGGCAAGGTGACTAAATTTTCTCCTGACTCCCAGAAGTGGTTCTCCTAGCCCGAAAGCAGAAGCATCGCATCAAGGTGAGCAGGTGGCTTCTTCAGCCTCTTTTCGTGCAGCATCTGCTTTTTGGCGACAAGGAGTGTGTGCTTTCCACTGCAGACAATTTTTATGACCTTTCCTGCACAAATAAATGATAATGATTAACTGGTCTGGCATCTGCTGCTGAATGGTCCCAGAAAAATGACAAGGACGTGTTTCATAAGACCTGTTCTACAAAAAAGTACGTTATTAAAAGGACCCTTTTTTGCTGCAAAACTGTTGGCAGTGATAAAAAAGTATTATTGCTTTATTGTCTTATATTATGACAAAAAGTTCAAAAAAAGGGAGATTAAATCCCCTGGTACTAAGTAGTACCCTAGCAAATAATCAGAGACAGCTGCTCTAGGGAGCTCCTGCCCCATTTGGCCATGTGTAAAGGGTTAACAAACAGAGAAGAAAAGCCAGTTGGGGAAGCTGAGATCGTAGAGATAGGAGTGAATGAACACATTAATAAATATGTACCTCAGTGAATGCATTTTAGCTGGACAAAGACAGTCAGGAG